ACCAGCGCTCGTAGGGGGTGCTGGCGTTGGCAGGCGGTGGCTCTGCCCGTTATGCCACAGTGCTGGCCCTGATTTTACTTATTTCTTATAGTTTTAGATGTAACTCACTGTACCTGCTTCCAGCACCAAGTTTTTTAGCTTCTAATCAGACCCAAAGAACCTTGCTTACACATGTAATTTCTAGGAAGGTTGTTCATAACATGACTGATGCAGTAAGATCCCAGTTTGGACAAAGTCTGTGGGTTTTCCCTCCCATATTAATTCTATGAACCTGGGAAGCAGGTGTGTGTGTGCAGTGTGGTGTGTGCTCCCCCGTCCACCTCTTCTCTGCTCCAAGCAGACCTAGCCAGTGTGAAGGAGCGAGGCCGGTCTGGGCTTGTGCTGATGATGGACTGGAAGGACTGGTGAAGGCCTGGGCCTTATGTGCATGCGTGCGTGTGCCTGAGTGTGTGTGTGTGTGTGTGTGTGTGATATGGCCTGGGCCTCGTGTGTATGTGTGTGTGAGTGAGATACGGCCTGGGCCTCTGTGTGTGTGTGTGTGTGTGTGTGAGTGAGTGAGATACGGCCTGGGCCTCGTGTGTGTGTGTGTGTGTGTGTGTGAGTGTGTGAGTGAGATACGGCCTGGGCCTCATGTGTGTGCGTGTGTGTGAGTGAGATACGGCCTGGGCCTCATGTGTGTGTGTGAGTGTGAGAGATACGGCCTGGGCCTCATGTGTGTGTGTGTATGTGTGTGTGTGTGTGTGTGTGTGTGATGCATGCGATGCGGTGGAGGCCCGTCGGGGAGTAGTGGTTCATTCCCTCCCGTGGATCTGCTGCTTGTGGGTTCTGACACTGCTCAGAGTTTTGCTGATGAGGAAGCGGAAGGGGGTGCTGCACACTTGGAAGTGCGAGTCTCCCTGAGCACGGGCGGCAGTTGTCTCCGCTGTGGCGGCAGGCGCTCCGCAGGGCGGGAGACTCAGACCTGGCGTCGGGCCTCGCCTTCCTGGTGGAGCGCTGGTGAGGGGCACCGGCAGTTGCTGTCGTCGCTCTCTTTTCCTGAATGTAAGGGCACACCGCTTACCTCCTGCAAAAATGCTGCCCTGCTCCAGCGTCCTTTCGCTTGCCCTACATTTTCCTGGGTGCTGCTTCGTTTACTGAGCGTTTTTGCTCAGTGGTACACGTCGGAGTCACCTGTGGGCTTAGAAAACAGACAGCACCACCCCCAGCTAGTTACAGCCTCGGGGAAGTGGCCTGGCCAGTTGCCCGCCTGGTCAGCACTCGCTAGGCTGACACACTTGGCCCGTCCCTCGGCGCCCTTTCAGCTCTGCGCCGCGCTGGCGCGTCCTCCCCACAGCAGCCTCCCGTCTCTGCCCTTAGCCTGCGCAGAGCAGCGTGCACGCCTGGCGTCTGCCGTGTGTTCGCTGCTGTTAGAGCTGCCGCAGCTTCGGGGGCCCGGAAGTGCCCTAACGCGCAGGGGTGCTCTGTGTGTGATGTGCGCTTTGTGTGATGTGTGCTCTGTGTGATGTGTGCTCTGTGCGTGATGTGTGCTCTGTGCATGATGTGTGCTGTGTGTGATGCGTGCTCTGTGTGTGATGCGTGCTCTGTGTGTGATGCGTGCTCTGTGCGTGATGCGTGCTCTGTGTGTGATGTGTGCTCTGTGTGTGATGTGTGCTCTGTGTGTGATGTGTGCTCTGTGTGTGGTGTGTGCTCTGTGCGTGGTGTGTGCTCTGTGTGATGTGTGCTCTGTGTGTGGTGTGTGCTCTGTGTGTGATGTGTGCTCTGTGTGTGGTGTGTGCTCTGTGGTGTGTGCTCTGTGTGTGATGTGTGCTCTGTGTGATGTGTGCTCTGTGTGATGTGTGCTCTGTGTGTGATGTGTGCTCTGTGTGTGATGCGTGCTCTGTGTGTGATGTGTGCTCTGTGTGATGTGTGCTCTGTGTGTGATGTGTGCTCTGTGTGTGATGTGTGCTCTGTGTGTGTGGTGTGTGCTCTGTGTGTGATGTGTGCTCTGTGTGCTCTGTGTGTGGTGTGTGCTCTGTGCGTGGTGTGTGCGCGTGTGGAGCTGTTGGCCTGCAGCTGCAGCAGTGCCGACTGGGGGCGCGCTGAGCTGGTGTCTGCCGTGTGGCCGGCTGCGCAGAGTGAGCCTCAGAAGGCAGCGCCGCGTACTCCTGCCTACTCCCAGCCTTCTGCACTTACTCGGAGAGTGTCCGCGAGAGTCATAAACCCCACAGGTCAGGAACGGTGAGGCGGCGCGAACGCTGGAACTAACGTTCCAGTCTGAAAGGCGGTAGATTAGTGATCAGTGACTTGGGAAGCCAGAGGAAGGCGCTTGCTAAGCGAGTACTAACGGTGAACAGCAACACAGGAGGGTGCTTCAAAAAACGCAGGGAGAAAGCTGCCGCCTACGTGCCGACATCCCAGCCAGTTCGAGACCCGGCTGTTCCACTTCTGATCCAGCTCTCTGATGTGGCCTGGGAAAGCAGAGGATGATGGCCCAAGTGCTTGGGCCCCTGCACCCACGTGGGAGACCTGGAGGAAGCTCCTGGCTCCTGGCTTGGGTCAGCACAGCTCTGCCGTTGTGGCCATTTGGGGAGTGAACCAGCGGATGGAAGATCTCTCTCTCTCTCTCTCTCTCTCTCTTTCTCTCTCTCTTTCTGTGTGTGTAACTCTGACTTTCAAATAAGTAAATAAATCTTTAAAAAAATTATTTTTGGTGCAGCGAATCGAACGCTTTGTAGCCCCTCCTCCTCCTGTGGAATTTAGTCCTGTATCTGTGGTTTTAGGGATCCGTGGTGGCCTTGTCACTACCCTTTGTGATAAGGGTGACCTGTGTAGAGGAGTAAATCTTTGGGACATTAGAGATAGCCAAAGCCTTTTAGCTGGGACTCCAAAAATACTGTCAGTAAAAGGAAAATAGAATGACTTCAACAAAATAAAAAAAATTTTATGGTTGAAATGACACCATCAAGAAGGTGAAAAGACAATGTTTGCAAATCATGTATCTGATAAGGGACTTGTATCTAGAATATACCTATAAAAACTGGAATTAAGGGCCTGGCGCTATGGCATAGTGGGTAAAGCCACTGCCCACAGTGCCAGCATCCCGTATGGGTGCCAGTTTGAGACGTGGCTGCTCCACTTCTGATCCAGCTCTCTGCTGTGGCCTGGGAAAGCAGAGGATGATGGCCCAAGTCCTTGGGCCCCTGCACCCACGTGGGAGACCTGGAAGAAGCTCCTGGCTCCTGGCTTCAGATCGGCACAGCTCCAGCTGTTGTGGCCATCTGGGGAGTGAACCAGCGGATGGAAGACCTCTCTCTCTGCCTCTTCTTCTCTCTCTATGTAACTCTGACTTTCAAGTAAAATAAATAAATCTTAAAAAAAAAAACTGTAAATAAATGAAGAGACCAAAAAATGGGCAAAGGGTCCAAATATAGATCTCTGAAAAGCAGACAGATGGCCAATAAACACACACACACACACACACACACACACACACGATGCTCAGACCGTTAGCGATCAGAGAAATGCAAATCGGGTTCAGTGTGTCGCCACTGAGAATGGAGTGCTTGGGCGTGGACTGTGGGAGAGCACGTAGGAAGTGTGGAGTCCGTTGTAGGAAGTGTGGAGTCCACCGTTACCGACAGCAGAGGATGGAGCTTGTGAAGAAAGCGAGGGAGGCTTGTGAGATGCGGACTCGTGGGAGGTGATTGCCTCCTCCAGGGCTGCATGGCCGAGGGGGAGTGCCGTGAGCGAGCGTTCCGCTTGGTGCTAACCACGTCTCCTCCTGACGAGCAGGTCCGGAGAGTGCCGGGTTCCAGTGGCCGCCTTCACAAGACGGAGGACGGAGGCTGGGAGTGGAGCGACGACGAGTTCGATGAAGAAAGCGAGGAAGGGAAGGCAGCGATCTCCCAGCTCAGGGTGAGTCCCGTCCGTCCTGCCGAGCGCCGTCCTGCAGCCTTCGTCCAGCTTAGCTCACTAAATACGCGGAGGACGGGGCGGGGGCGGGCCTTGTGGCCAGCGATGAGCTGCCCCTTGGAGCACCCACATCCTGTATCAGAGTGCCTGTTACAGTCCCAGTTACTCTGCTTCTGATGCAGCTTCCTGCCAGTGCACCCTGGAGGGCAGCAGGCTATGGCTTGCGTGCTCGGGGCCCTGCCAACGCTGGGAGACCCGGATGGAGGTCTGGGCTCAGGGTTTTGTCCTGGCCCAGCCCTAGCTGTTGAAGGCGTTTGGGGAGTGAACGAGCAGATTGGAGGTATTTCTTTCCCTCTCTCTCACTCTATTTTGTACTGCCTCACTTTCATTCTACCTCAGGTAATGAAAGTAAAATTTCAAAAAGAATACAAGTCGGGGTGGGCATTCGGGGTATTAGGATGCCTGTTAAGACCCATGTCCCATATCAGAGTACCTGGCTTTTTTTTTTTTTTTTTTTAAAGATGTATTTATTTACTTGAAAGAGTTACACAGTGAGAGAAAGAAAGGCAGAGAGAGAGAGGGAGGGAGGGAAGGAGGGAGGAGAGAGAGGTCTTCCATCTGCTGGATCACTCCCCAGTTGGCTGCAACGGCCGGAGCACTGCCAATCTGAAGGCAGGAGGCAGGAGCCAGGAGCTTCCTCCAGGTCTCCCACGTGTGTACAGGGGCCCAAATACTTGGGCCATCCTCCACTGCCCTCCCAGGCCACAGCAGAGAGCTGGTTCAGAAGTGGAGCAGCCGAGACTTGAACCGGCGCCCACATGGGATGCTGGTGCCGCAGACTGGGGCTTTAACCCACTGCCCCACAGCGCCGGCCCCTGGCTCCAGCTTTAGCTAATGCAGAGTCTGGGAGGCAGCAGTGAGGCTCAGTGGTTGGGTCCCTGTGCCCATGCAGGACACCTGGGCTGAGTTCCTGGCCCTGCTTCCTCCTGGCCCCGCTGTGGAGGTTGTGTGCATTTGGCAGTGAACCAGCAGGTTGGAGCTGTCTGCCTCTCCGGGGAAAAACAAAAACCCAACAAGCAATGCTGTTGTCACTTCACGGACAGAATTTCCTTGAACAACTTGTTATTATATGGGGTCCATTTGATTCTGCATGGAGTATTGAACTGGCACATCTGGATATGAAATTAGGGTGTATAAAATCATACAAGTCCAGAGGTGGAACGTAGTATGTGAAATGAAAAACATACCAGCTAGACACTGAAGAGGGAAAGACAGGCGACCCTGAAGGCTTAGCGGTAAAAGCTTTGTCCCTGAAGTCAGTGACCCTTCCGCCTGAAGGGCGGTGTTCTTGTCCACTGCTGTGTCTGGGTATCTGGGGTGTGTGTGTGTGTGTGTGCGCTAGGAGTAGTGTATACAGCCGGCTTCCTTTTGTTTGTTGTCTCACTTTTGCCTGACGTTAATGATTCAAGTTGACCGTCGGACTGCTTCTCAAGAATAGAGTGTGTGTAGGAGAGGAGTGTTGGCTCTGGCCTGTCTTCGTAGGACAGTGGGCGCAGTGTTTATCTCTGCCTGCTGTTTGTATGTGCTCGTACTTTGGCTGTTTGGATCCACACGGAGTGTTTATGTGTCGTGTTTATCCGTAAGGTCTTCGCGTCTAATCATTTTTCAGAGCCACATTTGTAAAGGCTTTGCCAGTGAAAAATTGGCAAAAATGTATTAAGCTTCAGCCTGGAAAAGCTCTTCAGAAAATAACAGTGTAATTATTTATTTATATAACATGGTGAGTTTGAGGACTGTCATCCTGTCTCGCTCTCCGTGGGGCTCTGAGTCACATCGCTCTCCTGTAGTGTTGCGTGCAGCCACCAGGGGGAGCCAGAGCTGCACGGACGTTGCGGTGCTGCCTCCAGCGAGGGGGAGCAGCTGCTGGAGCGGAGGCTGGAGGTTGTAGCTTCCTGTGTCTGCTCTGTGATTCGATAGTTCCAAGCAGCCGTCATTGCTTTTTCTTAACACCATATAAACGGTGTAGAGAATTACTCACTTTGTCCACAGAATAAGTGGCTTTTTTGGGAAGATTTTGGGGCTGGCGCTGTGGCGCGGCGGGTAAAGCCCCAGCCTGCAGAGCCGACATCCCATGTGGGCGCTGGTTCAAGTCCTGGCTGCTCCACTTCCGTCCAGCTCCCTGCTGTGGCCTGGGAAGCAGTGGAGGATGGCCCGAGTGCTTGGGCCCTGTGCCCATGTGGGAGACCCGGAGGCTCCTGGCTCCTGGCCTCGGATGGGCGCAGCTCTGGCCGTTGCGGTTGTCTGGGAGTGAACCAGGAGATGGAAGACCTCTCTCTCTGGCTCTACCTCTCTGTAACTCTGTCTTTCAAATAAATAAAAATAACTCTAAAAAAGATTTTTATGTATTTATTTGAAAGGCAGAGTGACAGGTGACAGAGGGAGAGACAGACAGCGATCACCCCTCTGCTGGTTCGCTCCCCAGATGGCTACAACAGCTGGGGCTAGGCATGCCGAAGCCTGCAGCTGGGAGCTCCCCAGGCCTCCCGCCTGCTGGCAGGGTCCCCGGCCGTCTGCTGCTGCTCTCCTAGGCACATTAGCAGGGAGCTGGGTCTGAAGGGGCACGGCTGGGACTCGAGCCAGCACTCGGATGTGGGGTATTGAGGCGGCAGCCGCTTAACCTGCTGTAGCACGCACCAGCTCCCGAGTAAGTACCCTGAAGGGATGTGCAAAGAGAGGACCAGCGCAGGTGGCCTGTGAGTGCAGTGTCTGGCTGCTGCCCTCAGGGGGCTTGGGAAGAGTGCCCGGGGAACAGGGGGCCCAGGGAGCTCTGGGTCTCCTTTGGCCAGGGCTGTTTCGGTAGCTGTGTGTCCGCAGCAGTTCTGCACCCCCACAGGTGTGTGCCGAGCCAGTGACTAATGTCTCCATGTTGTGGGAGCCAGGATTCTCAGAGCAGAGCAAGAGACGCAAGTGTGGGATGGGCCCACGTGAGGAGGGATCCCGGGAGGCGAGCCTGGCTCAGGTGTCGCTGTGAATCCAGCCTTCCTGAAGTGCGTGTGCGTGTACCCTCCCACGTGTTTCCTCAACACCGGGGCCGCATCTTGTGCCCGTGTTACAGTCTCCAGCACCACCTCCCACTAAAAGGGACCAGAGTTCCTTTGAGAAATGGCTGGTTCTGGGCCTGGACAGGGGAGACTGTAAGATGAAAGGATGCCATCTCTTGCTAGCTTTTGCCACCAAAAGCCTCACGGTGACATCAGAGCCAGCATGAAGGACTTCCCGCTGTGGAGTTCCCACTGGCCAATCTGGGACAGTTTTACCACCAAAAAGTGAGTTGTAAGTCACTTACGAGAGCCAGGGCCGACATCTGTGGTGGTGAAGATGCCGGTGAACACCCTCGGTGTTCCGTGGTGGGGTGCCGGGTTGGGTGTGTGGCCCTGGCCCCCAGTCCCCGCTTCCTGCAGGTGCAGACCCTGCCTGGGAAACAGCAGGCATCCCCGCCACCGAGGTGGGAGATGTGGGAGACGTGGGACACCCAGGAGACGTGGGAGACGTGGGAGACCCGGGAGACCCGGGAGACGTGGGAGACCCGGGAGACGTGGGAGACGTGGGAGACCCGGGAGACGTGGGAGACCCGGGAGACGTGGGAGACCTGGGAGACGTGGGAGACGTGGGGGACCTGGGGGACGTGGAAGACGTGGGAGACCCGGGAGACGTGGGAGACGTGGGAGACCCGGGAGACGTGGGAGACCCGGGAGACGTGGGAGACGTGGGAGACCCGGGAGACGTGGGAGACCCGGGAGACGTGGGAGACCTGGGAGACCCGGGAGACGTGGGAGACCTGGGAGACGTGGGAGACGTGGGGGACCTGGGGGACGTGGGAGACGTGGGAGACCTGGGAGACCTGGGAGACGTGGGAGACCTGGGAGACCTGGGAGACGTGGGAGACGTGGGAGACCCGGGAGACGTAGGAGACCCGGGAGACGTGGGAGATGTGGGAGACCCAGAAGACATGGGAGACCCGGGAGACGTGGAGACGTGGGAGACCTGGGAGACCTGGGAGACGTGGGAGACGTGGGAGACCCGGGAGACGTGGGAGACCTGGGAGACGTGGGAGACCCGGGAGACGTGGGAGACCTGGGAGATGTGGGAGACCCGGGAGACGTGGGAGACCCGGGAGACCTGGGAGACCCGGGAGACTTGGGATGGAGGTCTTGGCTCCGACTTTGGCTCAGCCCCAAGCTGTTTAGGGGTATTTGGAGAGTGAACCAGCAGAAGGGAGTTAGTTTCTCTGATAAATACATTTTTTAAATAGGAATCTCTGCATCTCTACCAATTATATATATATTGGTGTGTGTGTATATAGAGAGAGATAGATGAATTGCAGAGAGGGATGGTTCTTCATCAGACCGCCCAGTGCTGATGGTCAATGTGGAAGCGCGTTGAAGAGGGAGATGTGGTCACTTTGCACCGTCATCTAGAGATCGGGTCAGGAGTGAACCCTCCGGGGCACTAAGCACAGGGCAGTTAGGATGAGCAGGATGCCCCCACAGACTGCCGTCCATTTCAAGGGAAAATGGTTACTAACTACTGGAGCCTTCAGGAAACTGCTTGACCAAATGATTAGGATTAACCTCATCAGTGAGGGGCAGATGGCTCTTCGGTGTCCTGAGAAGGACACGGTACTCTGAAGCCTCCTCCCTGGCATCTGTGCACACGCGAGAGCAACTGCAAATGGGCGGAGGGAGAATTCCTCAGAGATGCACCCCTGGGCCCTGGCCTGCACCCCGTGCTGGAGGGAGAAGTCCAGGATGCCAGGGTCGGCGGCACTGGATGTGAGGGTGTGAGCGTGTCGTTAGACTGCTGCAGGTGCTAACTGCAGCGGGCTCCTGTTGGAGCTGGGTGGGGTCCTGTTGGAGCTGGGTGGGGTCCTATTGGAGCTGGGTGGGGTCCTGTTGGGACTGCAGCGGGGTCCTGTTGGGACTGCAGCGGGCTCCTGTTGGGACTGCAGCGGGGTCCTGTTGGAGCTGGGTGGGCTCCTGTTGCAGCTGGGCGGGCTCCTGTTGGAGCTGGGTGGGGTCCTGTTGGAGCTGGGTGGGGTCCTGTTGGAGCTGGGTGGGCTCCTGTTGGAGCTGGGTGGGGTCCTGTCGGGACTGCAGTGGGCTCCTGTTGCAGCTGGGTGGGCTCCTGTGAGGAACTGCCGCTGTTCTAGGAAGCACACACTCTGAGTGGTAAGCAGTCCTCACAGGCCCAGCCTGTTCCCAAGTGACTAAGTACGTACATTTAGCAAGAAAGAGAAATGAGCACCCAAATGATTGATGAAACCGACGAGGAACAAAGTTAATGACAGTGAGTCTGGGTGAAGGGCGCAATGATGGGTGAATCTGGGTGAAGGGCGCAATGACGGGTGAGTCTGGGTGAAGGGCGCAATGATGGGTGAATCTGGGTGAAGGGCGCAATGATGGGTGAATCTGGGTGAAGGGCGCAGATGGGTGAGTCTGGGTGAAGGGCGCAATGATGGGTGAGTCTGGGTGAAGGGCGCAATGATGGGTGAATCTGGGTGAAGGGCGCAATGATGGGTGAATCTGGGTGAAGGGCGCAATGATGGGTGAATCTGGGTGAAGGGCGCAATGATGGGTGAGTCTGGGTGAAGGGTGCGCTGGTGTCTTTGGGGTTTTGTTGTAGCACTTTTCTGTGAATTTGAAACCATTTCCAGATACAAAGTGTTTTAAAAATGGTTTTGGATTAGCCGGCGCCGTGGCTCAATAGGCTAATCCTCCACCTTGCGGCGCCGGCACACCGGGTTCTAGTCCCGGTTGGGGCGCCGGATTCTGTCCCGGTTGCCCCTCTTCCAGGCCAGCTCTCTGCTATGGCCAGGGAGTGCAGTGGAGGATGGCCCAGGTGCTTGGGCCCTGCACCCCATGGGAGACCAGGAAAAGCACCTGGCTCCTGGCTCCTGCCAGGATCAGCGCGGTGCGCCGGCTGCAGCGGCGGCCATTGGAGGGTGAACCAGCGGCAAAGGAAGACCTTTCTCTCTCTCTGTCTCTCTCTCACTGTCCACTCTGCCTGTCAAAAAAAAAAAAAAAAAATGGTTTTGGATTGGCCACTTACTGTGATACCTCTCCTGTGACCTGAACCTGGGTTCTCCTTACTGGAGAACTAAGAAAGCCTACAGTGGCCCACAGTGTCGAGAGAATTAACTATAAGATGGCTGCTCAGAGTTTTTTGGTGAAACTGCAGTGTGCCTACCCAGAGTTCCTACTATTAAAATTTACCAAATAAACATAGTGCAGATTCCATGTAACAGACGTGGAGTGACCATTTCCACATAGATGTCGGCTTGCACGAGGTACCGAGACTTGAGTTTGTATTCGCATATCCGTTTATTTCTTCCAGCCATTCTTTGTTTTGGATAGCTCACATTTATGTACCAGATCCCCAGAGATCTAGCACCAAGAGTAAGGTGGTAAACTCTTGAAATGCAAATTTCAGGTCAGTGTGGTTCAGCTCTGTCCCTCATGTTCTCCTCTAGAGCCCATAATCAGGGTGACTCACGTGGTGGGTGGCTGGCTTAGGTAAGCTGCTGCTAGGGTGCCTGTGACCCACGTCAGACTGCTGGCTTTGACGCCAGGCTGCCCCTGCCTGCTGATGGGAAGAGACCCTGGGAGGCAGCGGCGAAGGCGCGGTGGTCTGGTTCCTGCCATGAGCGTGGGAGAGCTGCACGGAGTCCCCAGCCCGCAGCTTCGGCTAGCCCTGTCTTGGCGTTTGGAGTAAATCAGCCAGTGGAATCAATTCAGTTTCTCAATTAGTCTCTCTCTCTCTCTTTCTCTCTTCGCCTCTCTGCTTCCCAAATAAATAAATAAGAACTTTTTTAAAAAGAACTACTCTGCTTTGGGAACATGTTGGGTAATTAGCTTGAAAGGTTAGGTTTCGGGGCTGGTGCTGTGGCGCAGCAGGTTAATAAAGCCTTGGCCTGAAGCGCCGGCATCCCATATGGGCACTGGTTCTAGTCCCAGCTGCTCCTCTTCCAATGCAGCTCTCTGCTGTGGCCTGGGAAAGCAGTGGAGGATGGCCCAAGTTCCTTGGGTCCCTGCACCCAGGTGGGAGACCCGGAGGAGGCTCCTGGCTTCAGATTGGTGCAGCTTGCAGCCATCTGGGGAGTGAACCAGTTCATGGAAGACCTCTGTCTCTTGTCTCTACCTCTCTCTGTAACTCTGTCTTTCAAATAAATAAAACAAATCTTTTAAAAAAGAAAGGTTAGGTTTCGTCTGGGATGTTATGCACATATGTTCATGAATAGAAAGAATTTCACTGTGAAGAACGTGACGTCCCTGCTGTCACGTTTGCCTGTGAAGCTCACGTGGTGGGATTTACATTGTGCGTACGCGGGTGCGTTCATTACAGGCTGCCTGCGCGGGCTCCTGCCCCACCCCTGGACACTTGCCCTGGAGCAGTGTACGAATCAGAGGGAGATGGGGTCCTTGGGTTGGGGGCTGCTGCTAAGTAAGCTAAGTTGTGAGTTAACAAACATCCTTTTTGTGTGTTTCTTTTAGTCTCCCCGAGTGAAGGAACCATTAATGAATGCTGAGGTAAGTCGTTGGGAAAGCGTCCGCGTGTCTGTGGGTTTTGTTTGGAGCGGGGCGCTGGCGCGGGATGGGACTGTAGCCGCAGGTGAAGGCTGGCCGCGAGCCCGGCACGGGATGGGACTGTAGCTGCAGGTGAAGGCTGGCCGCGAGCCCGGCACGAGATGGGACTGTAGCTGCCGAGCCCGGCGCGGGATGGGACTGTAGCTGCCGAGCCCGGCGCGGGATGGGACTGTAGCTGCCGAGCCCGGCGCGGGATGGGACTGTAGCTGCTGAGCCCGGCGCCATCTTCCTTCCTGCCGGGCTGCTGAAAGTGCAGGTGGACCGCTTGCATCCATTCGTGCAGAAATGCCATTTTTCTCTTTTCGGCCTCTTCTCTTGTCGGGCAGCGTCTGTCCTCGGTCACTGCTGCGTCGCTGTGATAGGAGTTCCTGTCAGGTGCACTCCCACTAGAGTTACCTCCCTTGTTCCCACTGCCGGAGGGGAAGCATCGTTCCGTGGGTCCGTTCCTAGAGTCTGCCCTCTGGCAGGCCTGAGCCAGTGTTTGGTGCAATGACGCCTATCTCCTGCTCCTAAACTAATGCTAGCCGGAGGGAGCCCTGACGCAAAGTGACACTCTGGGGGCGGGTGCAGGCGTGCTTAGGCATTGCTTGTGACACCAGCATCTCACAGGGGTGCCAGTTAGTCCCGGCTGCTCCGCTTGCAATCCGGCTCCCTGCCAATGCACCCAGGAAAGCAGCAGAAGGTGGCCCAGTGGTTGGGGGCCCTGCACCCACATGGGAGAGCTGGAAGAAGCTCCTAGCTCCTGGCTTCAGCCTGGCCCAGCCCCACCCAGTGTGGCCACTGGGGAGTGAACCAGACGATGAAAGATCCCTCTCTCTCTCTGTCCTCCTAACCTTGCCCCATCTCCTGTGACTCTGCCCTTCAAATAAATAAAAATAAATCCTTAAAAATAAAAAAGTAACACTTTGTAACTTATTTGTATACATAGTACACAATTTGTATGCACAGTACTCACAGTTGTGCATAGAAGAGTGTTGTGTACGAGTAAATACGGCACCTTAGCGTATTGACAGGCCGCGTCTGACAGTTCTCATTAGACGTGCTGTCTGTAATCTCTGACTCTTCTTGCCTTGTGCTGGAGTTGCATTCCCTGCCCCTTGTGATTGACTGCACATGACCAAGTCTTCCACTTGGTCCACTTGGTCCGCGGGAAGTTAGCGGAGGAGGAGCCACTCTGCCCCAGGGCCTCCATCCCTGACCCGCGTGCTCCTGAGCTTGTCAACCCTTGTTGGCCAGGGACACACATGGACGGTGTGTGAGAAATACTGTTCAGTCTGCTGACATGTTCGGATTATTTGCTACATTTAACTTAGCCTGCCCTGACTGCTTCCTAATTCCTCAGAAATTGAATGAAAAGAGATTGTATAATTCTCCAGTTTTTCTCGCTAGTCTCTTTGCTCCTTTGTCTAAATTAGTATCTGCGTGAGAATTCTTGCATACGCGTGCTTCTTCTCATGCTCGCCACTTGGGTTCGAATTTGATCACGTTACACGTCACAAACCACGCGGTTGGCTGTCTCAGTCATCTTCAGGTGCTCGGCTCAGTAGCCTCAGATCCGTTCACACTGTTGTGTGTGGTGGGTTCGCGCTGCAGCTCTGCTGCTCACTGTGGCTTCCTGCTGATGTCGATGCCGGAAAGCCGTGGGTCAAGTTCCTGATCCTCTGCCACCCACGTGGGAGACCTGGGCGGAGTTCCTGGCTCCGGCCTGACTGTTGCTGGCACTGGGGGGTGAACCAGGGGACTGGAACTCTCTGATCCACAAGCCACTCCGGTGTGTTTCCCTCTCAGCTCTTCCCAACAGCTGAGCCCGTGGGCACTCTGCTGCAAGTTCCGGAACAGGCCTCCGCGCGCCTACCTCAGCCAGCCGCACAGATGCCTGCGCAGCCCCCCCAAGCCCCCCTCCCGGCCCCCGCACAAGGAGCGCAGGCGGCTCAGGTGAGCGGAGGCGGACTGCGCTGGCCCGGGTGCACGCGGCCAGGGCTGACGTCACTGCGCGTGTGGCAGCGGCAGCGGGCCCTCTCACTCCCCTTGGCATTTTGGCTGCTGCGTTGATCTCCCTGCTGGTTTGTAACTGTGATGTCTAACTTGTGTTTGTACGCAACATCAGTCTTCCCCACATTATGCAGGTCGATTTTATTACATACTGCAAACGTACAAATCTTGGTGTATAATGTATGTGTTAGTTATAAAGTGCAGGTTGGTGTCTTGGTTTTGAGCGTCTTTGCAGTTTTCAGCGTGTACAGATGAGGGAGTTTTACTAGGCTCTTAGAGATTTTTTAGCAACTCAGTGAGCTAATACGGAAAAAGTTGCAAACGTGGAAGTGTTGGCCCAGTGTCTTGTCAGGTCTACACGAGGTCATTGTTACCTCTACTTAGAATGCAGCTGGTGGAGGTCGCGAGGAGCGCCGGCGCTGCGCCGTGTTCCTCCTGCTCGGCCCATTCCCGTGGCCTGCACTGCTCTGTCCCCTTCCTGGCTTCCCTGAGGGACTCTGCGAGCCCAGGTGCAGCCAGGCGCACAGCCTCGTCACATCCGGGTGTCCTGGGAGGTCGCGTTCTGGAGCCCTCGGGTGCTGCAGGGTCGGGGAGGGCACTGACTCAGGAGCAGCTCCCTTGGAGCGTCTTCCTGACGGAAGAGGAGTGGAAGCCCTGCCTTCCTCCTCCCGCACCCGTGGGCCGGCTTGCGCGCTGCCTCGTCCAGACCTCTGCTCTGGGCACTTGCGGTTGCTTGTGGTGCTGGCCTCGCTGGCCTCTGTCCCCACTCCTTCCCCATCTGCCCACCACGAGGGAAAAGATAGGAGAGCTGAGTGTGCGTGCTGCCGTCGGCGAGACCAGCTCCGGGCCGGGTGGGCCCCTGGGAGGCAGCTGGCGTGGGCCGTACCTGGTGTGTGCGGCTGTATGCCACGCTGCTGGATGTGGTGTGTATTCCCACAGTGACAGATCCGCTTCGTTACTTCCTTTTCAGTAGTTGAAGTCTTTGCGGGGGGGCAGCATCGCAGGGATTCTGCCCGGCGGCCTTTGTGGGAAGGCTGCCTCAGAACGTGGCACAGACCACGCTCCTGTGCCTGGACTGGCCGTATCAGGTTCGCCACCAGGAGTCCCTGCCGCTGTTGGCTGTGTGCACAGAGCACAGCTCTGCTGCTCCTTCGAGGCTAGGAAGCGCCCTCGCTCCCTTTGGCCGGGAGATGTTGCCCTACAGCCGCACAAGTGGCCTTGCACCACTGACCCCCAGACAGTTCCTTCTAGAAGAGCTCTTCCCAGCAGGCCCCACCGCCCCAAGATGGCGGAGAGAACACTGGCAGGCCTTGGATTGTAGGAGACCTCCCAGCAGGGAGCCTGGCAGGGACTGGGGACTTGAGAGGAAGGAGGTTGCCCCCGCGCGGACGCTTTGCCTGCAGAGGCCCGTCACGCCGTCGGCACTTGCTGAGCCGGGCATGACCTTCTGACTTTCACTGCTTTGCAGGCTGTGCCTTCGGGAGCAAGTTCACAGGAAATCAAGGTCCCAATCAGTCTCGTGCTGAGATTGAGGTAAGGAGTCGTCTCTTTTTCCTCCCTGGAATATTGTGCGTAGCTGCACCAGTCTGCGGCCCAGAGCCGCTGTTTGCGTAAAGGTGGGTGGTTCACCAGCAGCGTGGGCCTGGATGCTGGCAGACGCTGTGACTTCTGCTGCGCGCGGCCATCTAGTCGCTTCTCCCCGAACAGTGATGTGTGTGCCTGCTCTCAGGCAGCCGGCTGGGCTGGGGAGCAGGGTCTGTGCTTGAGTGGACGAGGGGAGCAGCAGCGGCTGGCGCATCTAGAGATTGGACCGTCCCTGGGACTGCAGCGATGCCGTTGTGAAAAACTGTGTCTGGGTTTCAAACAACTTCTGCACCAAAATAAACGTCAGCTCCATTTCCACCATTTGCAGTGCCTTCACGTCAGCAGCATGGACTGTGCGATCCCCTAGCGCAAGAGGGAGGCTTTTTGATTGTGTTGATTGTGATCAGTCACCTCAAAGCCTTGTTCTTTAAAAACCCTTAAATATGTCGCGTGTATTCCGCCGTTCCAGGTGGGCACACAGAGGCTGCTGAGAGGAAGTATCCTCCGTAGAATTTGTGCCCGGGGCCGGCGCCGTGGCGCAGCGGGTTAAGGCCCTGGCCTGAAGCGCCGGCATCCCATATGGGCACCGGTTCTAGTCCCGGCTGCTCTGCTTCCCATCCAGCTCCCTGCTGTGGCCTGGGAGGGCAGTGGACGATGGCCAAGTCCTTGGGCCCCTGCACCCGTGTGGGAGACCCGGAAGAAGCTCCTGGCTCCTGGTCGGCGCAGCTCTGTTGTAGCCAACTGGGGAGTGAGCCATCGGAGGACCTTTCTCTCTCTCTCTGCCTCTCCTCTCTCTGTGTAACTCTGACTTTCAAATAAATAAATAAATCTAATAAGAAAAGAAAAAAAGACTTTGTTCACGGCAGCCCTTCCCTCTGCCGGTTTGCGGTCAGAATGGCTTTGGCTGTTGTGTTGCTCTGATGAGGTCTATGTACTCACAAACGCACCCGAGAAACAGGCAGTGAAGGTGGGACCTGGAGAGGTGTCGACCCCCGCCGAAGGGCCTGGATTGGATTCCCAGCGCTGACCCCTGCCCCCGGCGTCCTGGGACGCGGTCTGGGAGCCAGCAGTGACAGCTGCGTCACGGGGCTCCTGCACATCAGCAGCCCTGGGCTGAGTTCCAGGTCTGGTTCCAGCCGCTCCCTGCCCAGCTCCAGCTGTTGTGGCTATCTGGGGAGTGAGCGAGCCAGCCGATGGGAACCCTCTTTGTGTATCTCTACCTCTCAAACAAATGCATTTTTTGAAATAATAAAGCGTGATTCGGGACCACCTGGGCCGCCTTTAACCATTACTAATATTTCTACGAAAGAGTTGCATTGAGTGACTGCTGACTCAGCCCCTTGCACACGCGAACTCGTGTCTGCTCCGTGGGGCATCGCCCGAGAGAAGCAGCCAGAGCTCCGGGGTTGGGCAGTGAGATCACACGAGGACAGTGAGAAAGCCGAGTGATTGCCTTCCCTTTGCAGAAACCTGCTCGTGACACGGTCGCATCTCACATAGCTTTGCATCAACAGGACGCCCTGGTAATCTCGTCCTATTTTAATTGTGTGTGAAGAATACCAGTTGTCTCTCTCCACCCCACCCCACCCCCTTTTTTCAAAGATTATTTATTTATTTGAAAGTCAGAGTTAATAGAGGAAGGGAGAGAGAGAGAGAGAGGTCTTCCATCCGCTGGTTCTCTTCCCAGTTGGCCACAATGGCCGGAGCTGCACCAATTCGAAGCCTGGAGCTTCTTCTGGGTCTCCCATGCAGGTACGGGGCCCAAGGACTTGGGTCATCTTCTACTGCTTTCCCAGGCCACAGCAGGGAGCTGGATCGGAAGTGGAACAGCCGGGACTCAAACTGGCTCCCACATGGGATGCTGGCACTGCGGGCAGTGGCTTTACCTGCTACGTACTCCAAGCGCCGGCCCCACCAGCTACCTCTTTAAAGAAATTTGTGTCGAAGTCTTTTAGGAGTTAATAAACAGCACAAAAATTGCGTTTGACAGGAGTACGTGAGGTAGTCAGTGGTCTTTGAGGGCGTGGTTATGTAATAGCCGTGTTCTAGATTATTTATGGAAGTAGGAAGCTAGATTCTTATTCTCAATGATAAAGACTTCGACAGTGGGGCCAGCGCTTTCAAATAAATCTTAAAAAACGACTGTGTGTAGCACTCTTAGGACCTGTGGAAGGAGACCAGGAAGGGCAGAGCGAATGCCTCATCAGGCTAGCGTGGGCTTCTAGCATCTGCTCACATGACTACAGGCACATTTCAGGCGGGAGATCTGGGCAGTCCTTTGTGGCAGGCTGTTTGCATTTCGGTGGCGTCCTGGGGTGTTGTCTGTCATGGAGCCCTGAGCTGTCTGCAGTGTGCAGGTAATGGATTAGAGTCCGAGGTGGGCAGGCGCGTCTCTCTCCAGACATAACACTCGGATTCTCAGGTTTCAGCCGGGGCCTCCAGGGAGCCTGGTTAACCCCAGGCCTGGTGTGGTGCTCCCTGCAGCTGTACCTCGTCAGTCACGTTGTCTGCATTCTGGAGTCACAGCCACTCTGCTGCCAGTGCAGGCCCAGGCCCTTTCCGCTTCCTCTCTGCCCGCCCAGACGCTGCCTGTCCGTTAGGTCCTGTCTGGAAAGGACCTCTGGGAGCAGGCGATCGGCGTAGCACTTCGGGATGTGCCCGCGTCCCGGATTGGAGGGCCTGGGTTCGAGTCCTGGCTGCACTCCGACTTCGGCATCCTGCTAATGGAAGGCAGCCAGTGATGGCTCAGGTCCTTGGGGTCCTGCCGACCGTGTGGGAAACACAGATGGAGTTCCTGGCCCCTGTTCCGCCTGGGCCACCGCTGGTCGCTGTGGACATTTGCCCTCATTGTCAGTCTTTCAAAGAAATACAGACCACCCCAGGTTTCCCTGGGTCCCAATCTCGTGTGTTCTTTGAGTCCTATGGCATGAGGGCCGGCCCACCAGGGGTGGGCGTGGTACGAGGTGAGAGGCTTCCTGTAACATTTTGGTCAGACCTCCCTGCATTCACGTGGATTTTTCTCTTAGTTTAATACTGGGAGATTACGAAGGACACGGGTTTACTCCTTGGGGTTCCAGAGGCTGGCGGGTCGGGGCTGGGGGCCACGCGTGGTGAGGGTCTTCATGCCGTGTCATTACTGGAAGGCGGGAGCCACCCTGAGAGACTGCTCAGACTGGTAAGCCTGCTGCTGTGGTGGTGAATCGCTGGCACCACAACAGCCGAATTGGGGGGCGGGGGGGGGGAGATCTTGCTGCTACTGTTCACTCCTTAAACGGCTGCAGTGGCCAGGGCTGGGCCAGGCCAAAGCCAGGAGCCAGGAGCTTCTTCCAGGTCTCCCACACGGGTGCAGGGGCCCGAGGACCTGGCCATCTTCCACTGCTTTCCCAGGCCACAGCAGGGAGCTGGATCGGAAGTGGAGCAGCCGGGACCGGCACCGGTGCCCATCAGGGATGCCAGCGCTGTGGGTAGCAGCTTTGCCGGCTACACTGTGGGTCCTTGTCGTGAGAGCGGGACCCACGTGGGCGAGGCGCCTCTCCACGCCTTGCGTCGGGGTGGTTTCCACACAGGCGCTTCGGGGGACGCATTCCAAGCACAGCGCCGTCTTTGGGGGAGCAGTGGGCACGCCAGTCTCAGCGGCGTGAGGTTGTTCTGTTGGCTGACGGGACACGTGGTGGTCGCTCTGCGCTGCCTGATCCGAGGTGGGGGCAGGAACTCCGGCTTACGCATTCTGTTTTCTTTCTAGGAATTCCAAAAAGGAACTAAATGATATCCGATTTGAATTTACTCCTGGGAGAGGTGAGGTACCAAAAATCCTGAAAGCATTCAGTGAAATGGGGAGTTTTTGTCCACTTAGATACATTTTGTTTCTAAAGGATGGCAAACATTGTTCTGGTTTTAAAGGATTTGAGGAGTGTTTGAATAAAATTAAAATACAGCTTACTGTATTGTAAAATGAACTTACTGACTACTACAGCTCCCATTTACTGCTTAATTAATGGGCATCATGCTAAGCCTTGCCCAGTAAATCCCCATCTCCATTGCACAGCTGCTTAGTAAACAGGCGCAGGGGAAGGCTGCGTGCCTGCTGTGAGGTCACAGGCCAGGGGAGGCATCGCTGGACTTCAGCCCAGCCCTCCAGTCTGGCTCTGCATGGCTGTCCTCCACGGGTGGCCCAAGGGACGCAGGCCTCCTCCCCCTCCCCGTCTCGGGGTCAGCGGCGGCAGCCACGCGCGGGAACAGGTGCCGATGGAGAGATGGAGGGGGGCTCCTGTTCTGCTCCTTGAGAGCCAGGCGCAGGCAGACCCTCAGGAGGCACCGGGAGCGGAGGCTCCAGCGGACGAGGTTGACTGGGCTGTGTGTCCCGGTGTCAGTTTTCCAGCGACGCCCGCCGCCGAGCCTGCACCGCCGGCCATAATGATGTGAGAACAAAAGCTACGAAAATGAAAACGAGGGATTCAGAACGTGCCCCCCAAAGGAGAGATTCATTCTTTCCGGTTTTGACTGGAATTAACCTTCCTGGGTGTGGCCCTGACAAGATTCATTTTCATGTCTCGGAGCCCAGAGATCTCACATCCATGGCTGCCCTCGCAAGCAGGGTCTCGTGCGCGACGTCGCTGGGGGGGACTCTGACCTGAGCTCAGCCCCTCTGCCTCCGCCGGCCAGAAGTGACCTTTGTGGCTGTCAGGAGAGCTGCGCCCTAGCCACAGCTGGGAGAATTCCTCACTTGAGACGGTCCTCAGTGGTGTGAGAGGAAGACCGTGCCTGCCTCCGGAGCCTGTGGGTTTAGTAGCGAGCGTGGGCCCCGCAGAGCTGGCAGCCACGCTGGTCTGAGAGGTGGCAGTGGCCCGGAGGTACCTGAAACACAGCCCCTTCTTTGTCCTTGCAGATACGGCGGAGGGTGTCTCTCAGGAGCTGATTTCTGCTGGCCTGGTGGACGGAAGGGACTTAGTGATAGGTAACTGCGCTGTGCTCTGGCCCTGTGCCCTGGCTCTAAGTACTAGTACCTAGAAAACCAGGCGTTTAGTCCCCGAGTAAGTCTTAGGGTTCTTGGCCTTGCTGAAACTGCAGGCATTGTAGACAGTCCTTACCCACCCCCAGCCCCCAAAGCTCACCCACCCACCCTTACCCACGCACACACACACATACACAGAGAGAGCGAGAGAGAGAGAGCGAGAGCCAGCCTCCACGCACAGTTCACTTCCCAAATGGCCACAACGACCAGGCCCGGAGCAGGAAGAAGCCAGGAGCCTGGAACGCCATCCGGTCTCCTGCATGGGTGCACCCGCAGGGAGCTGGGGCGGCCCGGAGTTGGCCTTTTGACCTCTGGTGGTAGAGGTGAAAGCACGCACACAGGTCTTGAAGACTGGTAGGAAGGATGACAGAAGTCACAGGACCGCGTGGGCCTGGCCACGGCTGCCCTGGCGTCCCTGGTAGTCTTTCGCCGTCAGCAGGTTTCCCTTTGCCGGGCCGGGCGTGTGGGCCGTGTCCAACCTCTGTCACTTTCGTGCCGGCAGGACAGAGGCAGCCAAGCCCATAATTTGCTGCCCCCTGGTCTGGGGCCTCTGGCCGCTGGCAGGCAGGGCACGCCTCTCACACGGGTGACTTCCCCGGGCTCTCACAGTGCTCCAGAGAGAGCTAGTGCCTCACCTCTCGGCCGCTTGGCTGAGGTCAGGTGGGAACAAAGTTAACTTAACAACGACTGGGATTCACTTGTAGGACTTGGGAGGATTCTTTTCCTTGATCTTTCTGCTTCCACGTTGATTGCACATAGAAGCTTCCGAACCTGCTTAAACTTCTGAAATATAGTGAAAGTGGACTTACGTAACTCTCACCCATCACTCTTTCTGTTTGTATGATTACAGTGGCAGCTAATTTGCAGAAAATTGTGGAAGAACCTCAGTCGAATCGATCGGTCACTTTCAAACTGGTATTGACCTGTCCTGCTCTTCCCACCGGCTCCCTTCCCCAGCGGCGGCCTCTGCGGCCGGCTCCCGCGTTCCCTGGGAGGGGAGTGTTCACACGCGGGGGCTGCGTGTGGTCTCCCCACACTTGGACCCGCAGTGTACCCAGCCCCCGTCTTTGGGAAGAGACCCCGGGTCAGCCTCCCGTTAGTGGCCCACCGCCTCTTCCCCCGGTCCTGTCTTCTGGTGGCCGCTGTCACGGCGTGTAGGCAGCCACCGCTTCTCACTGTGTTTGGTTTCCAGGCATCTGGTGTGGAAGGCTCAGATATTCCCGACGACAGCAAACTCATCGGATTCGCCCAGCTCAGCATCAGCTAAGCCACAGCCCCGCAGGAGCGGCCCAAGGAGAGTGCGCACGTGCGTGCATATCCCTGTTGCTTCTGTTGGCCTAAACCCACTTCTGCCAAAGACCCAGCAGCAACCCTCCGGCTCGGCGCGTTAGAGTCCTCTCTGTTCTTCCTGCTGTGTCGTCCCCTTCGTCCCGCAGGGAAAGAAACGTCGGATCCCCCCCAGTGGCCAGCGTCCCTCTCAGAGTTCCGTTCGTCAGTGTCCTGCACATGTCCCCGTCTTCCTCCATCTAAGTGGCCCAGGGGGTGACCTGTGAGCTCACTCTTGCCTTACTCCAGTGCTGGCCCGGGTGGAAGGGGCAGCTCCCTTGGGCTTCCGCGCCCGCCTGGTCACTCACGCCTGCCAGGTGTGGCTCTCGTGGGCTGGCTCTCTACCACTGCAGGAGCCACTAAGAGGTGACTGTTCAGCTGAGCCCAGAGAATTTCATGCAGTACTTTTTCTTTGTAGCTGATGTGAATTCCAGCAACCTCGGTTAGGAAAAAGCACAGCCTCGCTGGAGGGGCCTGCGCGGTGCCCCTGTCTGTCGCGGTGTGTCTCAGCGTTCGCCGCAGCCGCTGCCAGGCAGCCCTCCTCACTGCCCTCCGAGAGGGTTGCTAGCCTTAACGCGAGCTGTGCGGGCTGCGGCACTGCCGGCCGTTGCCAGTGCAGTGTCAAGGGCTGGCTTAGAAGAGCGGACTCTGCCAGGGGTGGCTTCGGACAGGAGAAACCCTTCCTCGGGAAGTATTTATTTTCAAGTCTTGAGAAGTTGAAGAAGAACTGCTCCCGCCCCTGCGTCCTGCAGCGGGAAGCGGTTCACCCGCCTGCAGGCCGCGGGGAGGGGGCGTGCGGGGCTCGGGCTGCACAGCAATACAGAGCCGCGCTGCGCCCGAGGCCGGAGGCCCGCGGCCCGCCTGCTGCCCTCCTCCTGCACTGACTCCTGGGAGGGGGCGCCCCGCACTCGGGGACAGTGAAGCCACATGTGCCGTACCTTTAGGGTGTCTCGGTAGGCAGTGTTCGTTTGATTTTCTACAGAAATAATAGGGATCATTCCTTAGGCTTAGGAAGGGGCACTCATAATGCAATACGTGAAATAACCCGGGCTCGGCTTTCTTCTCCGGCTTTCGCGCGGTCAGCCTCTTGTCTGAAGGCTGGTGACCCTGCCACGTTTCTCTGTGAGCGGGGCACAACCTGGCCTTAAGAAGACGCGCGCCGTCGGCCGCGGGCCTGCGGCGAGGCAAGAGCGCTTTCCCAGGGCCACTCGCGCCCTCGCCGGCTTGGCCTGAGGAGCTGCCGGCCACACCCTGTCTCGTTCTTTCCGAGTCTGTGGTTTCAGTCCTGGGCTTTCCTCCCCTGCCCGGGGGCAGAGGCACGTTGGAAAGGGCTGAGTGGTGTGCGGGGGTGGGGGAGGGGAGAGGGGATGGGTTTGGGATGTGGTTAGAGGGAGAGTAGATGGGAGGACCGGAAACCCAAGCCAGGTCCCAGCAGGGTTGGTAGGAGTGGGGAGTCCGCTGAGCCGGGTGGGCGGAGAGGAGGTGGACTAGTGACTGGAGGTGCTTAGCGTTGTTTCCTTGTCCTTTTAGGGAGGGGTGGGGTGGGGTGGGGAGCCAGGACTGGGAGGTGGGAGTGAGTGTGGTGCAAGACTAGGGGCTCGCCCAGGAGTGTGCTGTTTAGTTTCAGACAGACCCCTTGTGATCGATTGACTTAGGAGCCCCAGGATGGTGGCATCCCACTTGGAGGTGACCTGGCACCAGGCTGGGAGTGCGCCCAGCTCACTGCCCTGCCGGCTTTGACCCCTGGCCACCTTTGAACGGCAGTGTGGACGCCGGGACAGCAGCCGTGGCCAGCGCGCTCTTGCCTGGTGGGGATGCAGAGGCAGCAAGTCCCAGCAGGCAGTGAGGCGGAGGGGCAGGCGGGCAGCTGCTCTCCGGGGTTCAGGTGGCCTCACTGCGCCAGGTCCCTGGCGTGGGGGCTCACTGTGGCACAGGGAGCGCGTGCCAGTGCCATCTGTGAGATGCCCGGTCTGTGTGAGTGACTAGCGGATTTGTTTGAGCTTTTCGCTTAAGTTTTGAGCCAACCCCTAGGGCCAGCTGAGAGTAGTGGTGACCTGGGGGCTCCCCTCACGACGCGGCGCTCGGTTACGGAAGACATAAAATACCACCCCCCCTTTGACTTTGTATTTTACTGCATGTTTTCTTCATTTTTAATCAATAAAGAGTAAATTGTCTTTAGAGCTGTGTGGGTGCTGTGTTTAGCCACGGTTTCTCCTGTGAGTGGGCACGGGCCAAGTGTGTGCCGACTAAGCTGAGTGTGGCTCTCCAGAGGGTCTGGGCAGCTGGGGAGACCGGCCCAGGAGGCAGGGGCCTGTCCACAGCCGCATCGCCGCGCGTCCTCCTACGTGCCCCTGCGTGCCTCTGCCTCTGCTCGGGGCCGGTGTCCGGCCCTCGGGAGTCCCCTGTGGTTCACTCAGAGCCGGGCTGACCTCGTCCCTGCTTGGCTCCGGTACTGAGGGGGTGACCTCTGTCCCCGTCACCTACCCCTGGTCGTCATCTGTCCCAGACTCATGGTGGCCGAAGCGGTGAGGGAGCTCGGGGCCGTGGAGTCGGGGGTTCCAGCACCATGTAGCCTGCCGCTCACTGGGCTTGCCCGAGGGCAGCAGGTTACAAGATGGACCCATGGAGACAGGGAGGAGGCGCCCGTTTCTGTGGGGGGAGGGCGGCCGGGAATAGACCAAGTCCTCCACCTGCTGTTGTTTGAGATTGGGCCATGTCTTGGGCTCGGTGCCTTGGCGTTCCTTCCTGCACAGATGCGGAGGCCTGGGGCCAGCGCATGGAGTAGCAGGTTAAGCTGCCACCTGCAACACCAGCGTCCCTATGTGTGCTGGTTTGAGTCCCGGCTGCTCCACTTCTGATCCAGCTCTGCTGTGGCCTGGGAAAGCAGCAAAAGATGGCCCAAGTCCCTGGGCCCCTGCACCCGCGTGGGAGACCAGAAGCAGCTCCTGGCTTCGGACGGGCCCAGCCCTGGCCATTGCAGCTGTTTGGGGTGTGAACCAGCAGATGGAAGCTCCATCTTGCTTACTCTGTATCTCTGCCTTTTCAAATAAATAAATAAATAAATATTCAAAAAGTGGATGAGGAAATGTAGGTTTGCGGAAGGTGAATGTTGGGAAAGGAATTTTGTTTGTGATCAGGTAAGATTAGAAGGGAACTGAGAACGTTTTCTAACGACTGTTCGTGTCGAAGGTATGCTGAGGCAGACGAGGTGTTGGTTTCGGTCATCTCAGTTTTCTTGGAATGCCGGTGCACTTTACAGGAAATTATCAAGCTTTTCTTCACCTTTGAAGGTGCTTGGCCTTGGAAACAGGGTTCTGCTTTACCAGGCAACTTCCTGTGCCTCTTGTCTTTATTAGACATCAAAAAATCGAGTCCTCTCTCTTTTAACTTACTTGAAAGGCAGAGCGACAGAGAGGGAGAGGTCTTCCAACTGCAGGTTCACTCCCCAGATGGCTGTATCGACCAGGGCTGGGCCAGGCCGAAGCCAGGAGCCAGGAGCTTCTTCCCAGCCTCCCACACGGGTGCAGGGGCCCAAGCGCTGGGACCATCGTCTGCTTTCCCAGTCGCCTAGCAGAGAGCTGGACCAGCAGTAGAGCAGCCGCGGTGCAAACCGGCGCCCGTGCGGGATGCCAGTACTGCGGCAGCGGCTTCGCTCGCTGTGCCGCAGCGCCAGCCCATTCCTGGTCTTGAGGATTAGGGCGTTTCTCAAGCTGCCTCCCTCTTTGTGTTTGCCTTCAAAGACTTCAGTGATCACTTGGTTAAATGAATGACTGTTGTTCGCCGTGACCTGTGGTCCTGTAGTAACCAGGTATTTTAAACCCATGGTATTTCTGGTGAACTTCATAAAATCAACTTCTAAACTGTCTTTCTTAACCTCAAGTTAACTTCAGGATTTTCCAGATGGGTCCTCGGAACACCTCAAAAGAATACTTCTCTCTTTAAAATGAGAGCTGTCGAGCTGACTGGCCTATTTGCTATGTTAAATTATAGCAGGCACATTGTCGAATAATTAATGCTAAACGTTGTTGACCTCAGTTTATATGGCCGTGTTAGTAGTGTGCTTCAGAAATTATGTGAGGCTGGTGCCGCGGCTCACTTGGCTAATCCTCTGCCTGCGGCGCCGGCACACCGGGTTCTAGTCCCGGTCGGGGCGCCGGATTCTGTCCCGGTTGCCCCTCTTCCAGGCCAGCTCTCTGCTGTGGCCCGGGAGTGCAGTGGAGGATGGCCCAAGAGCTTGGGCCCTGCACCCCATGGGAGACCAGGAGAAGCACCTGGCTCCTGGCTTCGGATCGGCACAGCACGTTGGCTGTAGCAGCCATTTGGGGGGTGAACCAACGGAAGGAAGCTGTTTCTCTCTCTCTCTCTCTCACTGTCTAACTCTGCCTGTCAAAAAATAAAAAAATTACGTGACAGTCCTGGAAATGCTGGAGTCCTGATAACACTTCGGGTCATACTTCCGGTCATTAAAATGTGTCGTCAAAATAGCTGAACCTGCCCGCCAGTCGCGTCCTCTCGTAGGGGACGCTGATGCTAGAGCGCTCGCATCCACTGCCTCACACCCCAGTGCCCACAATGGCAGGGACTGGTCCAGGCCGCGGCCGGAGCCAGAAACAGTCTGGGTCTCCCGTGTGGGGGCAGGGGCCCGACCGCCGGCGCCGTCAGCCGCGGCCCCCAGGGCCTGCGTTAGCAGGAGGCTGGAGCCGGGAGCTGGCGCCAGGACTTCCCCCGGGCTCTCTAGGCTGGGTGCTGCCGTCTCTCCTGCGAAGCTAAGCGTAGCGGAGAAACTTGCTGGCTCGTCGGATGTCTGACCCACCCCCGGCAGAAGGAGACCTCAGCAGCAAGGACGTCGTCCCGAGTCGGCCAGGGCTGGATGGAGGCACAACTTGGACCCTGCAGGGTGGACCCGAGTCAAGCCTCCGCGACCAGCAGCACGGCGCATCTCCCTCGGACGTTGTCTGGGAGGCCGCAGGTTGATGCTGAGTGGAGACGGGTGGCCTTCCTGTTGACCGCTCCGCCCTCCGTCATTCAGCGTGGCCGATACAGTGGTGAGGGCCCGGCACTGTCCTGTAGTGGGCTGAGCCTCCGCCTGCGGGGCTGGCATCCCACACGGGCACTGGCCCACGTCCCAGCTGCTCCTCTTCCAATCCGCTCTCTGCTGTGGCTGGGAAAGCAGCAGAAGACGGCCCAAGTGCTTGGGCCCCTGCACCTGCATCGGGGGCCCAGAAGAAGCTCCTGGCTTCAGATCGGACCAGCTCTGTCTGGCCATTGCAGCCGTTTGGGGAAGAGCTCTCTCCCTCTATGTAACTCTGCCTGTCAAATAAATAAATAAACTCTTTGCTAAAAGAATGTGATCCAAATTACAAGTCCTGGTGAGGCTGTTAAGATGGTCAGTGGTGTGTCAGCCCCAGGGCAGGGTCATCCCATCCCCTCCAGGGTCTGCCTTGGATGCGCCCTGTGCTGACCTGCCGCCCACCAACCGTGGCTGGAAACCTGATCCTGCAAGAAGGCAGAGGAGCGCTCCGAGACGGAGCGGAGGTGCGGGGCCAGGAGGTCTTGACGGACAGCCGGTAACCATGTGGTGTCTGGGGGGAGGGCAGGTGCTGCGGGTGGGGGAGTCTGCACAAGGCTCCGGGCTGTGCCCCGTTGTACCCTGGGAATAGAATGCGCCCTTTGACCACCCCCAGCCCACCCTGAGGCTTCCGCACCCCATTGTGACGCCACCCCCCCCCCCCCGGCCACCAAGGGAACCCACACATTCTGCCTCTGAGAGTCTGGCAGGTGGGCGCTGGCGTGGGCTTGGGGGCACACAAGGCAACCGGGGGGCAGGGGGCAGGGAGCAGACAGCGGACAGGAGGCTGTGAGGGGCTCCTGCTGCTCCCTGGGGCTGTCCGCAGTGGAGAGAGGGGGCCCTGCGGGGGGAGACGGCCATGCCTGGCTGTGGCCTCCCTGCGTCTGTCCCGAGGCCTCCTGTACCCACTCTCACCCCCAGGCTTGCTAGCGTGCACCCCACCCTGTCTTCCACGGCTTGCGTGTGGCTTAGGAGAACGCACGTCGGTTACCAGAGTGAGTGTCGGGGCTTCCCTGGCTGGTGGCGTCCCATCCTTGAAGCCAGCTACGGCCACCAGACTCCCTGCGACAGCAGCCTCTTCTCCTGACCCCGCCTCCTGCCACCCAGGAGAGGATAAGCCACCTCCTGGAGCGTTAGGTCAGTCCGCACCGTCTACGTCGGCTTTCGCGGGTTGGATTCCACACTCTGGGGTGAGTGGAAAGGGCGCCACCACGTGGGGCCCCCCAACCCCCCACGGAGTAAATCAGAAGTAGCGCTGAGTCGCTCCCAGCCTAGGGAGCGGCTTGGCCACTTGCAGCCGTGTGGGCATGCTGGCCTGCTGGCCAGGCTCTGGAAAGCAAGCCCAGATGGACGTGACCGCTTCTGCCCGCAGCTAAGCCGCTATGAGACTCAGTGGGGGGCCGGCGTGGGCCAGCCAGGGGAGAGGGGTCGCGTGCCTGGACTGCGGAGCTGGAGTCGCCGTGGGTGCAGACAGCAGCCCCTGGAGTGACGGGAGGGCAAGGGGTGCGCTCGGGTGCAGGCAGCCCACTCCTGCGTCCTGAGCGTCCTAGGGCTCGTTTCCTGCGTCGCGCGTGCAACAAGGGAACACTCAGCATGAGCTACGGGATCCACGCGGCTGTGGGAGACCGTGCCCCGTGGCTTTCCCGAGTGGGCCAGGAGCGCACGGGAGACCAGCCCTCTGCCAGCAGCAGGATCCTGATCCTTGTCACCTGCCTGCGTCTACAAACAGCTTCTCCCAGGAGCTTTTTCCACTTTAGGATTTTCTTGTTTTTTTTTTTTTTTTTTTTTTTTTTTTTTTTTTTTTATGGTTTATTTATTTATTTACTTATTTGAAAGGACAGAATGAGAGACAGAGAGAGCAAGCGAGAGATCAGTCTTCCATCCCCTGGTTCACGTCCCAACTGGCTGTAAGAGCCAGGACTGGGCCAGGCCAAAGCCAGGATCTTGGAACTCCATCTGGGTCTCTCACGTGGGTGGCAGGGACCCAAGCACGGGGGCCGTCTGCCGCCTCCCCTCGCGCATTGGCAGGGAGCTGGATTGGAAGCAGAGCCGGCGTCGCAAGTTAACCCGCTGCACCGCAGCACCAGGCCCCGAGTTTCATTTTTCATTACTCAGATTCTCAAGTTTAAAACTTTATGGTTAGAATAAAACAGCACAGGTTTTGTGCTCTACTTCCCCACGAGTGTTCTTTTTGAAATTCGAGTCCTGGATCGGGTCGAAAGTCTCGTTTACACTATGAAGACTCTCCTGCGAGGGTTTCGGTTGCTGATCTGACGCCTCGCCGTCTCACCTGTCAAAGCGTGGCCTCCGTGCAGAGCAGCTTCTGGGCTTTCAGCCTCCTGGTCCACCCAGGCCGTCCCTAACGAGCACAGCTAAACCAGACGTTTGGAATTTCACAAGAGGGCAATGAGCCCTGCGACTGCTCGGCTCCTGCAGGTGCTTAGACCCTTTTCCTACCGTGGGCGGTGCAGGGTCATCCAGGTGAGCTTGTGAGGAGGGAGGAGTGGCCTGGGCCCCGACGAGAGTCGCATGGACTGCACGGATCATTCCGGCAAGAACGGTCCCTCTTGGTCATGAGCCTGTCTCTGCATTTCTCGTCTTAGCACCGTCCTGTCCATTTTATTTATTTATTTATGTATGTATGTATGTATGTATGTATGTATTTTTCACAGGCAGAGTTAGAGAGAGAGACAGAGAGAAAGGTCTTCCTTCCATTGGTTCACCCCCCAAATGCTGCAGCCGGCGCACTGCGCTGATCTGATGCAGGAGCCAGGTGCTTCTCCTGGTCTCCCATGGGGTGCAGGGCCCAAGCACTTGGGCCATCCTCCACTGCACTCCCTGGCCACAGCAGAGAGCTGGCCTGGAAGAGGGGCAACCGGGACAGAATCCGGCACCCCAACCGGGACTAGAACCCGGTGTGCCGGCGCCGCAGGCAGAGGATTAGCCTAGTGAGCCGCAGCAGCCGGCCAGAATCGTCCTTTCTTAAGACTGAGTGAGGCCTCATTTTATCTGTTCATCCGTCAGTGGATGTCCAGAAGCTGTGTTCACTTTTTATTTGAAAGACGGCGGGGGGGACAGAGACAGAGATACAGAGAGAGAGAGAGAGAGAGGTCTTCCATCCTCTGGCTCACTCCCCAGAAGCCTGCAACAGCCAGGCTGGAGCCAGAAACTCCACGTGGGTCTCCCGCGTGGGAGGCAGGGGCCCAAGGACTTGGGCCATGACCTGCTGCCTCCAAGGTGTGCGTCAGCCGGGAGCTGCCAGGACTCCAAGCCAGGCATCTCCAACGTGGGATGCAGACGTCACAAGAGGGCTGTGAGCTGCTGTGTAGACGCTGAGCCCACTGGGAAGGCGCGGGCTCCAGTGTGAAGTGGCAATTCTCCTTCTGGTCCTGGGAGCCGCCACACTGCTCCCCACGGCGCCTGCAGCCTCCGCAGGCAAACAGGCACCTGCCCGCGCCCTCGCCGACGCCGTTCTCTCTCGCTGTGAGGGTGCACCTGCCCGCGCCCTCGCCGACGCCGTTCTCCCTCGCTGTGAGCGGCACCTGCCCGACGCCCTCGCCGACGCCGTTCTCCCTCGCTGTGAGCGGCACCTGCCCGCGCCCTCGCCGACGCCGTTCTCCCTCGCTGTGAGCGGCACCTGCCCGCGCCCTCGCCGACGCCGTTCTCTCTCGCTGTGAGCGGCACCTGCCCGCGCCCTCGCCGACGCCGTTCTCTCTCGCTGT